ACAGCAACCTCCAACTCCTGGGCTCAAGCGAGTCTCCTGCCTCCACCTCCCAAGTAGCTGGGACCACAGGCGCCCGCCATAACGCCTGGCTATTTTTTGGTTGCAGCCGTCATTGTTGTTTGGCGGGCCGGCTGGATTTGAACCCACCAGCTCAGGTGTACGTGGCTGGTGCCTTAGCCGGTTGAGCTATAGGCGCCGAGCCTAATTTAGCTACTGTTATGAATTGTAATGTAAATATCTGATGTGCAGGATGGTCTTAGGCAACCCCTGTGAAAGGGCCGTTCGCAGCCCACAGGTTGAGAACCGCTGCCTTAGGCAAACCCAGATTGAGAGGCATTCTACAAAGTAAATGACACGACTCTTCAAGTGCCAGGCTCGGGTGAAGCGCACCGTCCCAGGGTGCAGGAGACTGGACAGCTGTATGCAGTGCACTGTCCTGGACCAGAGGAGGTGGGGTGGTTGACATAATTAGGGTAAGACTGGGTGTAGAGTACTCTATAAATTGTGTGTTGATGGTTGAATTCCTGGTTTCAATCATCATAACTGCAGGGATATAGAAAACATTTGGGGGGCGGTGCCTGTGGCTCAAAAGGGTAGGGCACCGGCCCCATAGGCCGGAGGTGGCGGGTTCCAACCCAGCCCTGGCCAAAAAATAAATAAATAAATTAGAAAACATTTGAGGAAGAAGCAACGTTTGGGGAAGCTTGGCGCAGGCTGTACGGGAATTCTCTGTACTGTTTTTGGAGCTTTTTGTGTCTGAAGATATTTCACAATGAAGTTGGACAACAACAACAAAAATAATTCAACTCAGCTGAAAAATTACGGCTTTAATGCTTGCTCTTGGCAACATCTCTCGTGATTGGGCAGGAGCTGGTTTTCTTTGCGTCCTGAATCTCCACGGTGATCTGGGTAGCTGAAGTTTCTAAGTGAACCTTGGGATGAGTGAGGCCCGGCTGTGTTGAATTGCAGCTACACTTTGAAAAGATTTTGCTGAAGTAATTGACTTATTTATTTTTGCACAGAGCTGTAATTACATCTTTGGGTGTCCCATGGCTGTGCAGGTTATCTGAGCTTTACTGTTGAAGCCACCAGAATCCCTAACTGGAAACTTAGCTCTGTAATTAATTTACGGGCTTGTTTGTTTTTATTATGATGCTGTGAATTCAGGTTAGTCCCATGGATTCTTCTGCTATGTGTCACGTATTGTTGAATTTCATGTTTGTTGGTTTGAGTCTTAGGAAGAGCTGATTTTTTGTGTGTGTATAAAAAACATTCTATTTAAACTTTGAAATAACCGTACTAAACATTTTTCTCTCAGAGAAGACAATCAGGAGTTTTTATAAGTATCGTGAATAGTAGATGTACACTGGCATAAACACCAAGTGGTAACTTTTTATTGAATAATAATTAGAATGGAAGAAGTTAGTACATTGGGAAAGGTTTCTTTCAGCAGGAGCTGTTAATATGTGACTCAGATT